ACTGTCAGCAGCTGTCAGTGTCATCAGCTTTTTTTTTCAATTTCTTAGGGCGCATGAAAGAAAATTCCTATGATGTTAAAATATAAGTGTAGCTCATTTTCAAATTGTCATCCTGTTAATATGTATTTACTAAGGCAGCTTCTTGTCTAGTATAATTTGAAAGAAACGAATTGCGGATCGTCAAGAGATACGGAAATCCATCGGTGATCAAATAGTTATTTTTGTATCTAGAGCGCGAAATGTAACTTTGGCATTTGAGTACCGTTTTTTTTTCTACAAACGTCAATAAAAACTATTCCAAAATAAGTAATATGCTTTGCTTAATATAAATCATTTTGTTGAACTAGCTTAAAAAGCCTTAATTATTGTTAAACGTTCAGAAATAAATGATTTCTTGGATTTATGCTTCATTGTGGACCATAAAGGTTAAAATAGATAAATCCCACAAACAGAGTGCTATACACACAGTATATAACATAAGCGGACGGCGGTTGGTGATGATGTATGATGAATCACGGAATGCAGAACGGTTGAAGATAGGAGATTAGTGATTAGTCAGTATATTACAGTCAGCCAAGTGACAAGGTTGTAAGGTGTTGGTATCATTAAAGGTGGTGTTGTATTGTTCGTGTGTGCCTCATTACTGCTGACAGTTCAGAGTTCATATTTAGATGACATAATCATTCCATCAAACACGATAGAGGTTGGACTCCATAACCTGAGTCGTGTTTTCGAAATTATCAAAGATTATGGTTTAACCGTTAAAATGTCGAAATCAACATTCTTAGAATCAAGAATCTCCTATTTGGGCTATACTATTTCTGATAATAGGGTAGTGGTTAACGATGACAAAACAAGAGCAGTCCAACATTTTTCAATGCTAAAGACTGTCCATCAACTAAGGCAATTCTTGGAATTGATAGGATATTTTCGTAAATTTATTCCTAATTATGCAACTAAAACACGCCCATTAGCAGCTTTATTGAAGAAAGATTCCAAATGGGAATGGGACGAAAGCAAAAGTAATTTGGTGAATCATTTAAAATGTCTCATTTGTTCAAAACCGATTCTCACTATATTCAATCCAAATCTCAAAAGCATAGTATACACTGACGCCTGTCGAGACGGTTTAGGCGGAATTTTGGTACAAGTAACGAAAGAAGGTGAGAAGCCCATTGCATAGTATAGTAAACAAACTACAAAAGACGAACAGAACTATCATTCATTTGAACTTGAATTGTTAGCCGTAGTAAGGACTTTCGAAAGCTTCCGTCATTACTTAATAGGAGTTCAATTTACAGACTGAAGCGCTGAGAAAAATGCAATGTCTAAGCAATCTATAATACCACATGTAGCTAGATGGATGCTCAGTCTTCAAGAATATAATTTTGACATTCAACACAAAGCTGGGGTACAAATCCAGCACGTCGATGCAATGAGCAGAAATCCTGGAGGAGATGATATGATAGCATACAAACTGTTATGATCATCTCTGAAGGGGACTAGTTGAAAGAGACTCAAGAATTAGATTCAAATATAGTGAAAATAAAAAATATTCTACTTTCTGGAGACACAGATAATGAAAATCAATTTTCAAAGAATATGACTTACGTGCAAATCAGGTGTACAGACTGACAGATGTGGGTAGGCGTTGGGTGGTGCCAGAAAAATGTAGGTGGCAAGTCGTAAAGCTTAACCATGATGATGTGGGGCACTTCGCTTTCGAAAAAACATTAGAGATAGTACGTCAAAAGTACTGGTTCCCGAAAATGAGACGATTCATTAAGAAATACATCGCCTCTTGTATTCAGTGCTTATATCAAAAATCTGTTGGTGGAAAGAAACCCGGGTTACTGCATTCTATTCCAAAACACGCAGCGCCATTCTACTTGGTATAAACCTGAGAGCCGATTCTGACCGTTTTATTGATGAAGAACCAGCTATCCTGGACGTTACTAACCTGAGGACAACGGCAAGTGAAAAATTAGAGGCGAACAGACGAACTCAAGATGAACGCTTTAATGAAAAGAGACGTCAGACCGACGGATTTCAAGTGGGCGATATGGTGCTAACAAAAATAGCTAGTCTACCGGCAAACGACAATCAGAGTAAGAAGTTGTTGTCCACGTGCAAGAGCCCGTTCAAGGTGGTTGAAGTACTTCCGAATGATCGATATAGGGTGAAAGAAGACATTCATGCCACTCGTTCCAGAATCCCATACGAAGCTGTAGTATGCCTGGAACACATTGAAAGGTATGTAAACATTGTAAACTCTTTGAGAGTGCCTTTGCTCGCACAACCCTTTGAGAGTGCCTTTGCTCGCACAACCCTTTGAGAGTGCCCTTGCTCGCACAACCCTTTGAGAGTGCCTTTGCTCGCACAACCCTTTGAAAGTGCCTTTGCTCGCACAACCATCTGAGAGTGCCCTTGCTCGCACAACTCGTGAAAGTGCCGTTGCTCGCACAACTATTCAGGAGATTTGCAGGATTAGGTTAGAATGAATGAATAGATTGCATCGATTGAGGACAATCGGTGGAATCAGGATGGCCGAGTGTTATACACACAGTATGATGAATCACGGAATGCAGAACGGTTTAAGATAGGAGATTAGTAATTAGTCAGTATATTACAGTCAGCCAAGTGACAAGGTTGTAAGGTGTTGGAGTCATTAAAGGTGGTGTTGTATTGTTCGTGTGTGCCTCATTACTCGCCCCTAACAAGTGTTGATCATGAAGTCGGCATCACATGGGAAAAACTTTCGATAAGAATTTATTTTGAAATTCTGTTCGAGCGTTAATTTGTGCTTTAAAAAGATGAAAAATGGCCTCGGTCGGAGTCACGTGACTTTTGCGACATGTCAGAAGTTAATTGTTTTCTAATTAATCGCTGAAAATAGGCTTATTTGAAGTAAAATGAAAAAAGTGTTACTTCGCATATTGTTATCAACGCGCGGACCCTGTATTTTTTGGACGTTTGTAGAAAAACATTATTAAAATCGAGTCAGAACCATTTTGGAAGTTTCAATAAAATACACTCAACTGTCAATCATCTTGTCTGATACATGGTAGAATAGAGAAGAATTTCAAAGTTCCCTATTTTGGACAAGGGTAGCTCAAAATAACTAAGCTACATTAATTTATCAAAGCAATTCAGTTTGAAAATAGCAAGCACATCTCCACTGAAATATTTCTAAAGTAATAATAAGTATCATTACTAGGTATCATGGATATTTCAACAACAATAATAGGTATCATATTAAAACTAAAAATAAATTCACATTGCACTGGAATGTGATAATAGTGAATAAACGATGATAAGTTATCACCTACAATAAATGATATTTTAACAACAATAATAGGTATCATATTAAAACTAAAAATAAATTCACATTGCACTGCAATGTGGTAATAGCGAATAAACGATGATTATCAGTTAAGTTATCACCTACAATAAATCATTTATTTTGATACAATAAAATCTATAAAACATAAAAATATACTCGAATTATAATTATAACTCACTGGACATTCGAACAATGTATAATAACAGGGTGTTTCGCTTGAATGAAAGTTTAGAATTCAGGAGCCGATAGTCATGCCGTTGAGGAAGCAGGCACATTTTAGATGATTCGGAACAACCGAACAATCATCCTCACATTTTTTCCTTGGCAAAAAGGAGCTATTGCACTGTGAAACCGAATTTTCGTCCCGTAACGCACTATCATCAAGTTATTTTTAAAAATACGGACAGAAATAGTTTTCTGATGAAAAATCAGTCACATTTGGATACATTGAGACCTGACATAATTTAGAAATATTTCTTCAATCCGCAATGAGCCGTTTCATGATTGTTCAGAGCAGTGTACTCTTATCTTTAGGTCTGTTTGTTTGTGTTGCTGAACTTGCTAAAGCTGATTTTTTCCCCATCCCATAGTTGTCTCTGTTCACGGCATAATGTAAAGAGAGAAAGTCATAGAAAGAAATTGAGTTTAGGTGGAGCAAACACAAACAGGCCTTTTATCTCCATTACTGTCCTGAGATTTCAACTTGTTGATTATATCCTACTCTTTCATGGTTCTCTTCAAGGAAACCAATCCATTATATTATTTTACTGATTATATCTGGTTATTATACAGTGTGAAACCCTAAGAAGGAATAAAATCCGTATTTTCATATTACAAAATAAATATATTTAAAAAAATCCTTGGACATTTAAATTGTACAAGGGGTAAAATTACACCTTGTTAAAAACCATTGTCCATTTTTTTATCCAGTCCAGCCATATCCTCGAGAGAGCAGTAGAAATGTTAGGTACTGTTTCATTTCATTACTTGTAAAGTGAATTGACCTACATTTTAAATCAGTATTTTATACTGAATGTCACCAATAATTCAGAAAAATAATCCCATAAATTTTGAATCTCACTACTGCAAATTTAAAAAAGAAAAGACAGTTGTATAGAGATTCAAAATAGATATGGGTGTATGTTGACCTACTGTACAATTTGAAAATGTTGAAGATATCACCTTGAATGTCATTGTCCAGTATACTGGACATTTGAGATCTTCACACGTATACCGCGTCCACTCAACTGGACGCGTTTAAACAGCGAGTATATGCACTATCTTTTGGTGTCGGACCACGAAGTTGGTTTCATATGTATAGTACGGGATATAGTTGAGGATTTTTTGGTTTGTTTTGGCAATTGGGATAAAAATGGCAACATGCATGGGGCGAATCACATGGTTTGCAATGGACTTTTCGCGCATTTGGTCATGATAATTGGCTGATTTTCGAGCTGATTCGAGTAGTAAATAGTCTGTTTTGTTTTGGCAATTGGGATAAAAATATTAGAATAAATGTGGCAACATGCATGGGGCGAATCACATGGTTTGCAATGGCCTTTTCGCGCATTTGGTCATGATAATTGGCTGATTTTCGAGCTGATTCGAGTAGTAAATAGTCGTATCATCAGCCAAAGCAAATTTTGGTGTACGTTGAGGAGTTTTTCATTAAAGAGTGTAAAGTTTAGTAATTTTTCTGACATATCTACAAATAATAATGACGCAACCCCAAGGTAAGGCCTGCCTAATTTTGTTGAAATGTCCGAATGATAAGTACTTTGCATAAACATTCGATGGTTGAAATTCAAGGAGAGAGAGAGCTAATAATGAGAGGATTAAACCAGCATGTGTTATTTATTATAATAAACACATGTCAGGTATTGACCGCTCCGACCAAATGATGTATTATTCCACTCCAAGAAAAGCCTTGAGATGGTACCGTACATTTAAGTTCTATCTGTTGGATTTGTGTATGTGGAATACTTATTACATTTATAATCTTCATCAGAATAAAAAGGTCAGACTCTTGGACTTACGTGAAGAAATAATTATGAAGCTTACGGTTCAGCAAATAGAAACTTTTGTTGAAACTCCTCAAGCTGAAACAACAACAACAAACAAATTCAATTTTTTGGTGCCGAATCAATCAACAGAAGAAATATGCGAAATGAAAAGATGTTGCCAATGCTGTAAAATGAAAGAAAAGAAGAAAACTAGTAATGTATGCCCTGTTTGCCCGAAAAAACCTGGTTTATGTGTCAATCCTTGCTTCAAAATTTGGAATGCATCGTCCATTTAGGTTTCTCATATCTAGATTTGATCTCATTTTTAGTTTTTTGTATTTGATAAAGGAAATAAATAAGTAATACACTTAGTTCAGTTTTTCTTTTTTTCATGAGATGTGTATGTCCAGTTCACTGGACAGCGGGCTATACATGCTAAAACCCCAAATATAGCCCGCTGTGCAGTAAACTGGACAGCTGCTGGTGACCTTGAAAACGTCAGCATGAATTAGCAAGACCATATATTCTCAAATTACGCTTAGAAAAATAATAATTTACTCAAACCTAGCCTTGGTTTCTCAGAGCCTCCTACTCCAGCCATACGTGGCATTCAACGTGATATTGACAGGTGATTGAAAAATTGTAGGCAAAATAGATTTCTAAAAATAAAAATTGACCTGTCCAAGGATGTTTCAGAATATATTTTAGTTATGGAGATACGGATTTTATGTTGGCATCTTGGACCGAACTCAGCCATTTGCGTTTCATTCGTTTCTGAAATTTACACTTTCCGACTCGAAACACCCTGAAGACAAAACAAACTTAACAAAAGCATATCTACGCTAACATCACAGAACATGTAAAGGACTGAATAAGAGTCAGTCACAAAGGCATATTATCATTTTATCCGTACTATCTACTATTCCAGCGCGAAATCGGAAGTTTCATTGGATATACCTGAATCCTCTCCAAGCCGCTGAGCCTCTGTAGTTGAAGTAGATGCTTCGTCTATAGTTGCTTCCAACATGGTTTCACATAATTGTGAAGCATCTAGATTCTGAAACTCCACATTTTTCTCGACTCTTGCTTTCCTTTCCTGAATTTTTGCTTTCATCCCATGAATTGTTTCTTTCTTCTTTTTGATGTTCCCCAGTGTTTGTTTCTTTTCATTGGGTTTTTCTTTTTTTCTATCGAATTTCAAATTTTTCGATTTCATCCTCTTGGAACTCGTAGCTTAAACATAATGTTATTAGATAATTAAGAAGAGCGAAAGTATTACCTGTCTCACAATTAACATGGCAAACTTCTACATCGGCCCCTATAGTCATCAAATATTTGAGCCATAATTTCTTTTCCATAGATAGTTTGTTCATTTCTAGCACCACCTCTACAAATTTACTCTAAAAACAACAATGGAATTATTTCGATGGAAAAATCTTTGAAAATGAGTATTCTGTTAATTTTTATATGCTAGTAGTTGTGAAATTGTTGTCAATGCCCATAGTCGAAAAATCACGGAGAAGCACGGGCACGGGGCGGCCCTTCATTTATTGAGAACCCGTTTTTTTTACTATGGGCATTGACAACAATTTCACAACTAGTAGCATCACATTTTTTCAACTCCAAAACTTTCAATTCGGCTGAAGATGGTCTTTTATAAGACCGAAACATATCCCTTCTGATTGTGTAACAACACAGCGCGTTCGAGCGTTCCTTCCTTCCTTTATTAGGACATGTACATGTACTGAACTAAAGTGTCTAATGATGAAGGTAATTTTTTGTATCGCTTGCTTCATGTCAACATTCTCATCGAAGCTTCTGGAGCTCTATGTCATATATTCATCTTGTTGATATTAGCGAAAGGCAGAAGATGAGGATTAATAATGTTTAACTTGAAATTCAATATACCGAGTCACAGCCGATCTATAACAAGACGCGGTGAGAGAAATGCAACACCGCATCGCCGTGATACGAAAGTCCTACTCTCGACCATTATCGACTGGCGACATAGGCAAACATTGCTGACCGTGCTAACGTAACGTCAATTCTTCCTGTCTCTGAAATAATAGAACTTTAATGATAAAAATAGCAAGTAATAATAGGTCAGGTCACTGGTCAGGTGTTATTCAGTTTCTTAAATAAAATAAACAACTGGCAAGTCCGTTTTGGCATAGATTAAACAAACAATAGATAGACAATCCCTGTACAAATTGGTAACGCTCATAAATTGTACGCCAAATTCACATTAGTATTATCGTCAAATGTCAGATGGCGCTCTATCTCTTTTATCGATCGACTCGTAGTAAAATTGTGAAAGAATAATAGTATTTGGGCGTGGCATCAAGATAAGGATCATGATTTATGGCTCACAACATGAAAGGGTCTTAACAGGTAGGAAAATAACTTGTATACTCATTCCTTAAACTGTGTATGAGGTAGATATGGTTCCTTCGATGGTTATTTTTATTCACGCGCGTGTATAGGCATGCACCTGAACAAACTTAAATCTCAGGAAGTCTTCACTGTTTTTTTTACGGGGTAGGTCAAGATGAATTGAAACTTGATTTTGAAACGTATACTTTAAACATAGATTAAAAATAAATTGAAATATCTAAATAGCTGGAACTTATCGAATATACAGAGTGAGTAAAATTGTAGATCGAACATTTTTAAAATTTCAAAATATCGAGAATCTGAATAACATAATTATGGTTTGTCAATGGGTTATTCTATGATATAGGGTGGGTCAATATGCGTACGCCTTTTTGATCGCTTGAGTTCGTTGACGGCAGGTATCTTATTCAAAAACATTGATACCTACAATGATTGATATAATCTGTAATTTCAAATCATGACATAAATATACAGGGTGAGTTGAAGAGATGCCGATGAACTCAAGAGATAACTAAATCTACACCGAGATCTACACCTTCTCAAATCTTCAGAATCGACAGAATCTGATCAACTCATCAGTCGCCATTAGGATATTCCATAATATATACAGGGGGCTATAATAAGTACGTTCTCTTCGTATTGCCTGAGTTCTAGTTCTATAATAACATTATGATAGCTATAAATCACATTTAATATCGTTATGAAACCAAATCAAATAATCTCTGACTGGAAATCATTATCGAATATACAGGGCGAGTGAGTCAAATGGGATATTAATTTTGAGAATTCCAAGAGTTACAGCCGAGGTTACAGCCGGAATCTACACTTTTTCAAATATCTAAAATCTGAGCAACTCTCTTCGATTCCGATAATTTCAAGAGATTACAATACACCTAAGTCTATACCTTTCCATATCTACAGAATCGAGAAAATCTGGGAGCTACATATATACAGGGTGTTCCAGGTTGAACGTCATTAAATTTTATAAGCGATAAAACAATGGAAAAAAGTTGACTCATGGAAAAACTTTGGTTAAAAATGCTTCCCATCAAAGATACAGGGTGTCAAATTTGTGGGCAGAAATTAGATTTCTCATCATTACTTCCAAACCACTCGACCGATTTTGATCAAATTTCGCACAGATACTAATGTATTTCATCTCTGAGTAATGATTGAGGTTATTCGAGGAAATTCTTCAGTGGCGTAGATAATGGGGGTCGACATATCCTTCTCCCTCACCTAATCTTCGGTTTCACTAAATATTTTACAAAAAGATTACATTTTTGGATTTCTTGTTCAATTTAGAGAATAAAAATACCTTTGCAAATGTTTGATTTATGGCTTCGTTTTCAAGATACTTATTCGAATTTAGAGGGTTGCATCAAAAAGGCTAAAATTTTCGAGGTTTTGTACAGGCTGTACTAGTATGGTTTTCAATAATGTTAATGAAGTAGGTACACATTACACTGTTGATTTTGATGATTCCAAACTTAACGCGGCCGCCGAGAACTCAATCGAGGTGTCTAAACTCTGAAACCCTGTATCTCTGTTAGGAAGCATTTTCAACCAAAGTTTTATCATGAAAGTCTACTTCTTTCCCGTTTTTCTGTCGCCTATCAAATTTAATGACGTTTAACCTGGACCACCCTGTATATATTATATACGTCCACCTCGATTGCTTGAGTTCGGGTTCTATATAATAGCATACAATAGCTATAAATAACATTTGATATCGTTATGAAACTTTATCAAATAATCTATAACTGAAAACTATTATCGAATATACAGGGCGAGTCAAGTGGGATATTGAATTTAGAGAATTCCAACAGTGACAGCCAGCCAGAATCTACACTTTTTAAATCTCTAAAATTTGAGCAATTCAGTCATCAATAGGTTTTTCCATTTTTCTATTATACAGGGTGGATCAATAGTACGTCAATTATCGATCTCAAAAAAAAGTAAATTCGGACTCTTCGTGGTCAGTTCAGAATATTTCAAGAGTGGGCCAGTAAAATAAAATTGTAACATTGAAATAACTTGAGGGAGGAAAAAATACACAAGTGATGAATATTTCAACCCAACATATTCATAGATATTATTTAAATACCATCATGATTTTTGATTACTCCTTTCTACGAAAAGAGAGATCGTGGTTGGGAAGCAATTTACTTTCCATTAAAAAGGTATTAAATTTTGTATTTAATTTGATGAAATGAAAATCAAAAGAAAATTTGAATATTCAAAGTTATTGGACACAATTGAAGGATTCGAAGACCTAGGAATAATAGGTGGTAGATCTAAGACGACGGGGACACAAGTGATGGTACTTTTGGCCAGTGGACTATATTCCAAGTGGAAGATTCCATTAGGATATTTTGTCTGTGGTAGTGCTATGAAACATACCATCCTGAAAGAAGTGATCATCAAAGCCATTCAACAGGTGACAAATACTGGCCTTATTGTCAAGGCAGTAGTGTGTGACCAGGGAACAAACAACCAGGCAGCAATGAGGAATTTACATGTCTCCATTGAAAAACCATATTTTGAAATCGAAGGCCGAAGAATATATTGTATTTTTGATCCGCTCCATTTGTTCAAGAACTTTAGAAATAATTTATTGCACCATGACTTTATCTGGATGAATAGGAGAGTATCGTTTGATGATGTGAGGAAGACATATAATATTGACACATGTAGTACAACAGGAAGGTCTTTACTCAAGATCACTCCTGCCCACATGAATCCATCAGCATTCGAAAAAATGAATTGTCGGTTGGCACTCCAAATTTTCAGCAATTCTATTGCCGCAGCTATTAGAACTTGTCATGAAACCAAACAATTAGAAAGTGATACTGCTCTTGCTACAGCAGATTTCTTCCAGATGATGAATAATTTGTTCGATTGTTTGAACAGTAATCAGTTGTATTCCAAGAATCCATATAGTTGCGCAATGTCCGATGAACGCCCTATATATAGTCGAAAATACGATCATTTCTGCAAGAGATACATTGATAGAAATTAAGAAAGTTACTACAACTGGATATTCTAGACCTGACTGTCTTGATGGAATATTGATCACTTTGTCTTCAATATTGGGAATTTATAATGAACAAAAAGAATTAGGATTCACTTATTTATTAACAACAGATTAAATCAAGATGTTATTGAAAATACTTTTTCAAGTGTAAGGCAAAGAGGCGGATTTAATCCAAACCCAACGGTTAGAACTTTCAGGTGTACCTTTCGTATCATGGCAAAAATGAACTTAATGAAGTCATCAGATTTAAGTAATTGTGAAGAAGATGATGATATTAATTTGATGACAGTTCCATCTACTAGTCATGTGAATGAAAATGTCGAGGAAAATCTTGACAATCCTCCTACAGAGAATTTACTCGAAAATCAAGTGATTCCATCATCCTCGTCTTCTTCAAATGAGGAAAATAAACTCGAAAATAAATATTCACCTGTAACCCTGGAAGATTGTTCGAATGCTTATTTTGCAGGATATACTTGGCAAAAAATTTATCGATAAATTCAAATGTAATCCTTGTGCAAATAATTTGATAGTTAACGATTTCGACAATATAATGAATGACGAAAAACAATTATTGATAATCAATAAAGATTATAGTAAGAACATACAACATCTAAAATACCCCACTGACGAATTCAAGACTATGGTTGATGTAGCTTCAACTTCTTTTTCAAAAACATTCCTCAAGAAACCATATATAAATAGAACAAAACTATTCATCAAGAATAAAATTTTCAGAAAGCTGTCGAAAAAGTGTCCCATCTTTCATAACGAAGTTGAATGCAGAGAACATATGGAATTCATAGTTGATCAGTTAACGTTATGTAAACTTCATAAAGAGTGTAAAAATGAATCCTAGCTAGATCGATTTATCGCCCTCGAAACCCTCTGTATACGGAATTTCATGAAAATCGTTGGAGTCGTAAATTGTTTGGCGTGCTATGATCTTGTTACACCCGGTATATACATTTTCCGAAAATGAATCCTAGCTAGATCGATTTATCGCCCTCGAAACCCCATGTATACGAAATTCATAAAAATTTCATGAAAATTGTTGGAACGGTTTCCGAGATTCACATTATACAAGTATTGCTCGTTTAAAGATATAATATTTTAATCATAGGTTTCCTGCCCTTATGTGTGTGCCGCTACTGCCGCTCGTGTGCAATTTTCGTGTGTCGATGCAGCACGCCCCTGTCTACCATTCATCAATGGAGTTGAAAATGTTTTCATTGGCTATCCTAATTCATTCATGTTCACTAGCTGTCTCCTAATGGTTATAGGAAACTGTGATTTTTCCTCAAAGACGCGTAGTGTGTCTACTAATATGCAGATGGCGACAAATTCGCACGTGCAGAAATCGGCCCATATACATTGCCTATCTATTGTTTGTTTAATCTATGGTTTTGGTAACATTATTCACATTTGAAGCATACCCTATCAGATTTTTAGATTAGTTCAGTCTAATCTTGGAGTGATGCAGGTAGGTATATTTCATCTTTCAAAAGAACAACAACTCTCTCCCTTTGCAACAGTGATGAAGCAATATTGAACAAGTAGGTGATTATCATTATGAAGCTTCATACACCGAATGAGAAGTGTTGTAGGTACACCATAAAAGACATATATAATCATTGAAGAAGAATATCTATTTTATATTTATGCATTTTATATTTTCTTTTTTTGTGGAAAATTTGAGGGAACTGTTGTTTTAACCTAAAGAGGGTAATTAATCTATCTGGAAGGGAAAATGTATCGTATCTAAGAATATCTGTTTCAACGAAATGAATTGCACACACTACAGAACGTTGAGATGGGGTCCAATTTTAACGAAATAGGTATCCACTTTTTTCGCAGTTCTTCACGAGGTTTTTCACCTTTAGGAAATGTGATAATCGAAGCATATTTCTTTTCCGAAGCGTAATTGGACTACTTCTGTCACACAATAATGATTCGGCATCTTGTTATAAGAAACGTTAAAATTACTTACTTTGCTACTACAAATAAGATAACATATGACATAACCTCAATCGAAAAACTATTTTCGATGGTATTTCACTCACACTCACAGATACCCTTTCACTTATAACTCGACCACTAGAATATTCCTTATATTTTTCACCAGCTTTCAAAAATATTTCACATTGATAACACATAAATTTACTCTTGAAAATTAAACAAATCCACTTGAATTTACTAGTCATATAACGTGTGTGTATAAAATAACCGACCAAGGGACTGACAGTGTTGCATGACTTCTCACCACGACTTTCTATATCGCAGGCTGTAACCGAGTCTTATGAATAAGCTTTAGATGTAGATGCAGATCTCGATTTCTCATCTTAACAAACATATCAATGCCAAATTGCATGTGAGTAAAGCTATTAGTAGCATGAAACACAACCTCACTTTTCTTATTTGTTCACAAGTGATTGAAATAGTTTTTCACAATTATTTTGGCATATGAATTGTGTTTTTCGGCTATTCATTAATTCGCGCATGCCATCACATTGTGCTGTTGTCCAATGCACAAAAAATGCAGCGGGAGACGAAGGAATCCGGTTGGTACATTATGATTTAAAAGTAAGTACCTACTATGATCACTCACATATAGGTTTCATTTTTGAAATTTGGTAATTTCTCTGGATTTCTAGAATAATACAAGAAGATTAGATACATGCAATCAAACGGGTGGACTGGTCTGACATGCTGACGAAATATGATCGTGAGTGTTGTAGACATTTTCAATCTATATAAGTAGTATTAGCTTCTATTGCAGAAGTGGCAGAAGGAATTTCAATAAGAAATGACAACATTACGTAATGAAAACTATGTGAGATTACTATTTACCTGAAAAATCATATTCCTTCGTCTCCCGGCCGCTGCATTTTTTGTGCATTGTACAACAGCACAATGAAAAGGCATGCTTGAATTAATGAATAGCGCAAAAAACACGATTCGTATGCCAAAATATTGTGAAAAACTATTTCAATCCTTTGATTCCTAAACAAATAAAAAAATTGAGGTTGTGTTTCAATGTTTTACAGAAAAGTGAGGTTGTGTTTCAATATTTCACCTCTAGGGTCGGTCATCGTGCACGCGACCTATACAATTCGAACTTCAAAATCTTCAAGGTTATATATCTCAATAAACTTCCTGCAAAATTACAAATCGTGTCAGTTTAACAGAATAATCCTCCCGCTTCGCAGTCGGATTATTACAACTGTTAAACTGACACTGTTTGTAATAATTATGCAACAAGTTATCAATGTATAACCCGAATATTTTCAAGTACTTACAGTATTACGACTGATAATACAAACCTTTTTGTTATCAACATTCCATACCAATAAATCAGGTAAACCTCTGATGTACAGCGGCAAGTCTTTAACTAAGCGTTCATAAATCTTCGCAAGAACTTTCCTCCCAATGCAATTCACCAATATTTCCAGATACTCTGGTTTCTTGATGATGGTGCCAGGTTCACAGTAACCACACTCATGAGAATGCAACTCCCAGCTCCTTTTCAAGAATTGCAACAGCTCATTATCTGGCCAATCAGATTCGATTTCTTTGAGTCGCTTATCAATGGCATGTTTCCTGTTCTGGTAAAAATAGGTTGTATACATATCGAGTGGAACATATTGGATTTTTGAAAGAAATGTACCAGGTACAACTTTTTCGGGATTGTATATAATGTCCCAGAAGAAGAGGGTGAACGTAGCTTTGATAAGAGAGCCTTCACAATGTCTCCCATCTGAATAACCACATCTTTCAATGTAGTATTCTAATGCGATGTTTTCCACAGACTTATAGCTTTTTTTCCCATTACTGTCATGGACAACATAGCTTCTTTTTCGGCCTGTTCCCGTACTAAAAATGAAAAAACTGATTGTATGGATATATCAATGAGTGCTTCTTCAAAAGGCATGTACGTTGGTGGGAAATGGAAAATAATACCAGTGTTATTGACCAAGATCCTTCTATTCATGGTTTCAGTATTTGATTACTGGCACATTTTATGTGGATTTCATAATTATAATTACTATACAGAAGGAAGAAGTAGGCAAAGAGCATTGACATATTATTTTTAAGGGTTAATTCAAATTGTTGTTCCTCCTCAAGTTAACTTCCGAACGACTGTTTATTTTTAATTTTGGTAGTTCAATTGCTACATATTAATTCCAATAGAAGATAAATATTCATCAAAATTGTGCCTGCAAGTCGTTTTTTTTTAATGGAATGGCATCTAGAGAATCATCTATCCATCTTGATGTTACTGTCTCAGCCTGCTTTTAACAATAATATTCCAATTTTGATCTGATGAATTAAGAAGCATTATACACGTTCAATAATGAAAATCCTGACTGGAAAAAGGAAGAGGAAAAAATAATGATAGTAGTCACCGTTAGGGTCTCTTGATGTAAATTGACCTATTTGTCATCTTAACAGGTTACGGACAGATCCTCGTCTCCTCTCACTCTAAAGTGTTTGTGAAACAGTTATATAGTTCCATCTTTATTCATTTCTGGGGATAAACACATTTGTTGTTTTTTAGGTTATATTTAGGACATTGGCGTATCATACGTAATTTCCACATGTAATTTCTCATTCAACTCTACATATTACATCCAAATGATGATGATTATTTTCGAGTTTTCGATTTTTCAACTCCAGCATAATCTTTGTGAGGCAGTGAGCAAATTTTTCTGAAAGTTTAATACGTTTTACCGGCTGTTCTTAGGCAGTACCTATCAATAAATGAATTTTGATTTCAGATTAATCCTTATGGTTAAGAAATGGTGAAAAATGTTATGTAAGTATTTAAACTAATGTGCTCATATGTCATGTGTGCTGTATATGTTCATGGAAATCATTTTTGCATTTTGCATTTTGTATCAGTTTTACCTCGAATATTTTGCTGATGTATTTACCAATTTTCCAAATTCGGTTACTTCACTTTCCATGTTCTAAGTTCATTTGTATTTGATGGGCAGCTGACAAATTTAAATTTGCCATCCAACTGATCGATACAGCCTAACGCAGCACATTTTACTATCCTTCCAAAACAGAATTGAATAATGTCGTATTGAGATAAAGTATGAAATCAAATTTTTGTAAGATCTCTATGGATGTGACGTGACAGCAATATCATGTCAGGGACGCCAATACACGAAACCAAAGTCACTAGATGATTAAAAGAGAAAGGAGCTATGATCTGTCCGTACCCTGTTAGGGGACAAATACGTCAGTTTGCATCAAGGGACCCTAAGGCACTGTGACTCAACGAATTCTGTACTACTGATACGGGTACGGCAATAGGTAAGTTTCCAATATTTAGATTCTTATCTCACTGTGAGGTTTGTGAAAATTTAATATAGAATACGTATTTTCTATTTTTTCGTTAGATAAAATTTTACTTCTGAAACAAATAAATGAAAAAGGAACTTGGCACCATTCCTATGACGTAGGTACTTTGTGAAAAGCCACAATCACACAAATGTTTTCGCCTTATTATTAGATTCTTGAACAACAAATTGAGTTGAGCGATATTCTTTAATGAACATTGTATCAAAATGAGTGAATTAAAATGGGCTGCAGAAGTCAGAAAAATCAGTGTCTCCATGTACTTATCATACCACAAACAAATTTTCTCTGCATTATTTTCCAATTGAAAATGAAGGTTCATGCACGAAGTGTCGATTTTCATTAAAAATTGGAAAACCCATACAAAGTGGATGTGTGTTTGCAGTGAGCATTTCTTGGAGACCGATTTTATCAAAGGTGAATATTTGAGGTTGTGTAAAAGGCCCCTTTTTTAACTCATGAAATATAAATACAATTCCTTTTCAGGGGATCACAATTCAAATTAATATTCATTTCGTGGGGTGGTGAAGTAAGACCATTTGTTTGCAAACATAGGCCAAATATTCTCTATCTCCTGCCAGCTGATATTTTCATTATCAAAAAAAATCAAACACACTGGTCTCTTATGGAATAATACAGCTGATCATCATAATGATGCTTCGCGTTCAAATTCTGTGCGCCATCTAGCGGAAACGAATTTCGCGAATTCGTTAGCCTTTAGCTTAGGTCTGTAGTTTATTGTTGTTAGTTAGTTGATCATCGATATATTTCATTGCCTGAGGAAGTATTCCCAACAACATATAATCTCCAGAAGATCAAAAAAAAATCCAATACCTACCTCCTGTCCCTATCCTCCCTAGGATTGCACGATTTTCTTTGAACATTATAGGGATTTCCTTTCGTGCGCTCCAAGCGACAAAAAAATATATAAACATCAGAAAATTAGAAATTGAATTTTGGCAATTGACTATTATAGATCGCCATTCTGTACAGGCTGTCCCAGTTAAAAAATAAAGATGTATTGAAATATAACTATCGAACTAACAAAAAAAATATCATAAAACAAAACAACTTATCAGTTAGCTATATCAATCTTCGGTAAAAAAGGAACTTTCGAACATATCTATAATAGGTAAAAAGTATTGTAGACAAGCAAAACGGTTTAATTTTCAATTTATAGGAGGAACCTAACAGAGCCGCTATGTTGACGACTTAGTCTCTCATATAAGTTGTCTCCCATACTTTTCTGATGTTTTTGCCAATGCATCAATAATATCGACATAATGTAGGTCATTTAAAATATCGATTTCGGTGTTCATCAGAAGAAACGCATCCAGTCTTTCTTGCCCTTGAAATTTGGAATGGTGTGAAAGTGAAAAGCGGTTGGGTACTGGTACTGGTGGGGGACGTTTGCACGTCAGCAACTAGTCCCTAATGGGACCTTTTTGCAAACCCCAAGTGTTTTCAATGACTGATGTGGTTCGCTCAAGAGAGCTGGCTAACATCCTTTTCAGGCACCGCCCATCAGCTCTCTTTCAGAGTTTTTCGGCTGTGTTTTGTAGGCTAGTAATGTACTCACTACCATATGCGCAGTGGCAGGCCTGCTAGCTATCCTCGTTAACCCCCGTTAGAGACTGGGGTCCACTAAGCAGCTGGCCCGCTCTCACGCTCAGCTGGTAGTTTTCCACACCCACCTACATACACCGTTCTACTTCTTCTCTGATGCTTACAACCACATCATCATCTCTTTCTGCGTGTTCTGTGTAGGCTTTGATACTAACTCCATGCGCCACTTTAGGAGCAGCACTGTTAATTGGAACGCAACAGCGAATCATGCAGGACTATCCCCAGCCGATGCTCCGAAACTTTACAATATTTAATTCGTAAATAAAATATTGAAAAAAGTTCCTTGCTCGTGCTGGGAATCGAACCCACGACCTTGCGGTCGTGAGACGTATTAAAGTCGTTTATTTCCATTCTCCTAATCATATACAACACGAATTTACTATCACATTTCATATTTTTTGTTTTGGAGCATCATATAGTGCCCCTAGATGTCCCTCCCCGTGATGCAGAGGTGACTGGTGTTGGCCAGGGGATGTGAGAGGATTTGTGAAGTGTTCGTCGCAGAGACCGATCTCCTAGGGCTAGGCCCTTTATGAAGGTAATCTCACTGTGGGTACCCAGTGGGGCGGGGGAGTTGCTCATACGTGATCAGTGTAGGGAGTGTTTCCGGTGTTTGGAGAAAAAATAAAGTGAAAAAACCAAAAACCTCCTTCTAGTTAGGCTCGGACAGCTGGACCTCCACGTTTCCGTGTTTGTACATCTGTCCGAGTTCAGTGCCGTGGTCGTGAGACGGACGCTCTTCCACTGCGCCAATCCCGGATGTGTTTGCCAATGCATCAATAATATCGTCATAATTTAGATCATTCAACATATAGATTTCGGTGTTCATCAGAAGAAACGCATCCAGTCTTTCTTGCCCTTGAAATTTAGAATGGTGTGAAAGTGAAAAGCGGTTGGGTAAGGGTATATTAGGTTAGGAGAGGATTGGAGAATATGCCGGACTAGCCGGACTGATGGTGGGGTGGGCCTCAAACATTTTCTTATCAATTTATATCATGTAATGAATGATTTGTAACGCTCAAAAATATTAAAATTCCTTTTTAAATTGGGACCACTTTGAGGGCCTCCGCGAGTCTGTCATGAGGGCCTACCGGGAAATTTCCCGGTATCCCGGTGGTACAATCCGCTTGTATCTCAGCTATCTTTCGACTTATATGAAAAGTGAGAACTGTGACTTATACAGTTTTTCACGTGGACTCCAGTGGCGTAGTCAGATTTTCAAAATAAGCTATTATTATTTAGATATAACCCAAAGTTATGTTTTTTTATGAGGAACATCCAGTATATTTTTTAATATTTGATTTGATGATGCTTCGTGCCTTCTAAAAATATATAACACTTATACAATATTTCGAGTATTAGCCTTGAATTTAGATAATTTACATTTTTTCCTGTATATTTTTTGTTGATCCGCCTTGTAAATGTCTGGCAATATTTCTAATATCATGAATTTTCATATTCACCCTGTTGCTGACAGAGTGTTTCGTCACACACTACTTCAAATTTTACCAACATTCATTATTTACCATTCTTCAACACTATTTATTGACTATAAAAGCTGTGAACCTATTTAGTAGGTGGCTATAAAAAAAAAAGCTAGTGCAGGATGTTTTATAATTATTATATTCTTGTCACCTGACAACCTGTCGAAGTTAACAAATTTTTCATACAATGGCGAATTTTAATTATATTATTTAAACTATTCGACAATTCATAAACCAACTTATATTCCAACCATATAATTATAATCTTTTGTAGTTTTGATATACTGGATTATTATCCGCCATTGCATGGAAAATTTGTGACCTTCGACAGGTAGTCAGGTAACAATAATTATAAAACATTCTGCAATCGCTTTTTTTCATTGCCATCTACCAATTAGGTCCACAGCTTTCAATGCCAATAAATAGTGCTGAATATTGGTAAATAATAAATGTACGTAAAAATCAAACTAGAGTATAACGAAACAATCTGTCAGCAACAGGGTGAATATGAAAATTCATGATATTAAAAATATTGCCACACTTTTACAAGGATAATAAGAAATATGTATGTATATTGAAAAATTGTAAATTGAAAGCGCAAAGCATCAATATTTCGAATATAAAAAAATATACAGAGTGTTCCATTCAAAAAAACAACTTTGGGTTATTTCTAAATATTAACAACTTATTGTGAGAATCTAACTACGCCACTGGATTCCATGTGAAAAACTGTGTAGGTTACAGTTTTTACTCTTCCTATAAGTAGAAAGATAGCTAAGATACAGGGGTGTCCCAAAATGCAACATCTTCAATTTCACCTTGTATCTCCAAAACGAAGTGAGCTATGAAAATCTTGTTTTTCTACAAACGCTTAAGAAAGTAGCCTTTGACGCTTTCAAATTCCAGCACAAAGTTGACGTTTTCCCAGAAATGTCATTCTTTGACAGCATTTGCGCTCGTGAGCGGAAATATTGATAAAACGCTCGCACATCTCTGTAACCTATACTTATCTATTCTTGAATTCCCCCAATTCTTTCATGATGGAAAATAGTGACAGTGAATCATCAAACACACCTCCCGATACAGCAGAAAGCGCAGAAGTTTGAATCTCTTATCGGAGAAATCAAGGAAGAAATATGAATTACAATATTATAACATTCATAATTTGGTGCCATTCCGAGATGATGAATATGTATCCACAAAACGTTTTACTGGCTTATTTTGGTAAAAAATCAAAGACTTTGAAGTCATCAACTCATTGGTCTATATATTCGATGGTACGTATATATGCTTGAATATTGAAGATAATATCGGAATCAATAAGTATCTGAAACTTATTTCTCAAGAAACAATCTATTGGATATAAAGCGAGAAAAATCCAAAACATTCACCGCTGAAGATATATACCAACAAATTTCTACTAGAAGCTCCCGATGAAGCATATCTGTTGAAAACGATGAATTATACTTTATATTTAAACTCTTTGTTATCATCAGAAAGACAGTGTATCTTTATTTATTGCATCAATGAGTAATGTTCCGTACGTATTTTAAAAACATTCATTTAAAGGAAACTTCCCTATTCAGTGATAAGAATTAGTACTACTAACCTCCTTGTAGCTGTTGTATCCACAGTGGTAGCAGGAAATTGTTCGAGTTTCATAGGTTCTGGTACCAAATCAGCAATAGTGTCATGGTAGAGTTGGTGGATTTTACGTTTGTTTCCTGCATTCAATTGTTCAGCTCTTTTTCCTATTTGATGCAATTGAACATCAGACACGTTGACATGATTAGATCCCAATATTTGTATTATAAGTTTTGCTGTTGGCTCGTAATCATTTGGTTGCAAGTACCTAAAATAATGGAACATATTATCAAATGATGTTTATAGAGGATGTCCCGAAATTACATAGGAAACTGCAAATTCTAGAAACAAGAATAGTTAAAAAAGTTTACACACATGGATCCAGAAATTGGCCCTTGAAGGGGGTTATAGCCCTGTAAAGGCGACCCCTTTTGCGATGAAATAACCAAATTTTGAATGTACCTACCTAACTTTTTATGTCCAATTTGAAAATGTCAAGAATATTTCGAAATTATGAACAGAAGCGTGGAAAATAGCTGCACCGTTTTTATTACGAGATAGAATTTTAAATTCGATTCATATCGAAAATGGTGAATTCACTCTAAACCAAACAAGAATAGGAAAAGGTATTCTTGTTAGAATGCTGCAAAACGAGAAAAGTGTCATTTTTCATTTTGAGGGCGTGAGCTCCTATGATGAAAAACTTAGAACTTGATAATTACAATTTCACATTTCCACTTAGTTTTGTTTCATTAGAGTTTATCGTGATGTTAATTTGTTGAGAAAATATCTCTATTGCTACATAGGCCAGTAATTGGGAATTTTGACCTGGAAATAAGTCCGGAAGTTTTGAACTTTGTAGGTTTATAGGTTTGGGAATCTAGAACTGAAATTCACTAAATGGACATTCCGAGACATGCCGGCTGCGCCGCCATCTTGCCAAGATGGCGCCCAAAAACGGTTTTTTGCAAATATCTCTGAAACTGTGCGTTTTTCGCAAAAATATGTATAGAGAATAATTAAAGAGGAATAAATTTCGTAAAATACATGTTCTAATAAATATATTTTTGCTAAGCCCAGCAGTTTGGCCTCAAGAGCTGATTGAATGGCAACATATTTTGTTAATATCAGTAAATTGCCCCTATCTCTATGCGGGTGACCCAGGGCTAAACCGCCAAAAGTTAAGGGTCGGTTATTTGGGCAAAAATAAGACTTTTTTTTTTTTATGAACATATGTCCTAACTTGCTTTGTTTTCGATATACAAGGTGTCAAAGTTTTCAGAAAAAATCGGTTCTTCATCAAACGGCTTGAACTTACGGCAGATTTCGATGAAACTTGGTATGCTTATTTGCGGTGAAACGGAGCTCCATTTGATGTAATCCGGATTAAATTATTTCCATTGGCGTCCCAGAAAGTAATTCAAAATGATATAAGGATATTTTTGTTTTATTATTTTATTTTATTAGGTAACTGATAACGTAATAAAGGGTAATCTAACTGATATTAGGACAAGTTCATTGTATGACTTTTTTTTTGTATGTTGAATATTGGTACTCTGAGAAAAAGGATCATTCATGCAGCCCGAGAGATTACACCAGCAGAGTGCCGTGCAGCTGCAGTCGTCCGTAGGTGCGAACTTTGCATCGAGAAAGATGGTGGTCATTTTGAGCAGTTCATGTGATTCTTGGACGTTATCAGTTTCCTAATAAAATGAAATAATAAAACAAAAATATCCTTATATCATTTTGATTACTTTCTGGGACGCCAATGGAAATAATTTAATTCGGATTACATCAAATGGAGCTCCGTTCCACCGCAAATAGGCATACCAAGTTTCATCGAAATCTGCCGTAAGTTCAAGCCGTAATTAATGATGAACCGATTTTTTCTGAAAACTTTGACACCTTGTATATCGAAAACAAAGCAAGTTGGGACAAATGTTCATTGAAAAAAAAGTCTTATTTTTGCCCAAATAACCGACCCTTGACGTTTGGCGGTTTAACCCTGGGTCACCCTGTATATGCCTATAAATGTTTCTATTAAAATAAAACGGGCTATTGGTTTCCCGTTATATTCATAGCTTGCTGGCCAGAGGAAATTTCCTACAAAATATGTTCCTAGTATATTTTCGCTAAAGTAAACCGTTAAGGCACAAAAAATGCCCTCGCGAAATAAAAACTTTGCGTACGTTCTCTGTAGAGGCGAATTTCGGAAACAATATGTGTATTGCACAGGGCCGGGTTCAAGCATAGGCGACATAGGCCAGCACAAAAAAAAAATACAAAATAATTTTGATTTTTTCCAACCAGTTTAATATGAAGATGAGAAAATTGGAAAGAATATTAGTAACGAAAGGTGGATGTATCACATGTTGGAAAATAATGTGAAAGAATGATTTTCCAATGTAGAAGTGACGTTAAGAATGTAGTACCTTTCCTTAACTGTGACTATCAGAAAGATCATTATAAACGACGTAATTGCAACGTGCCATATTGGTCATATAACATATCTGACATCTGTTACAAGTAAAAATTTTCCTAGGAAAGAACTATATCAATTTCTATTTTTAAACCACAAAATTAGGTAATCATTAATTTTTCAGAAATAGTAGGTATCCATCAGGTAGGTGCGTGGTGTTATTGATAGAGGAAATGTAGTATCACTCTGTATAGGCTCTGGTCCAGTATTCCACTTGAATGTATATGACCCTGTAACCAAGAATTTACCGATACAGAAATTTATAATGGAGCAAGTATTATAATAATTTATGATACCAAACTCACTAGTAATCTTACCTTTGAACACTCTGTAGAAGAATGAACGACACATTTGGGTACTCTATAGCTCATTGCTTCATCTCCCTGTTTTGTAGTCACCGATACAAAGACCAAATATTGATCCCTCTGATAGTAGGATTTCTGGCAACAGGCTTCTCTCTGCAACACAAGAATAGTTAGAAGACAACAACTCAATAGTTGCATATCATATCTACCTTCAATCTCATGGTTCATCTTGGTTATCGAGTTTATCAATCTTGTTTACAACGAACAAGGACGAACACAGGTACCACAGCTCGATAACCTGTCAGGAAAGAGTGACCTACATTTCGATCAGCTGATGCACACGGTGACAGATCGCAGCTACTTTAGCGACTAATCTCGTGTCGATTGTTCTTTTGTTATTCCCAGTGTAGGTGATATATATATATATTTGCGAAGGTCGAGTTCTTCAATCGTGGCAAGACTATCACTCGCATGCTTGAATGACCCATGGCCATCTCCGAAAACGCTGGCATCGTCGCGGATCGATTCGAAGTCACATATTATGACGTCATATTGTGTTCTCACCAGCGCTGGTACCTATTCTGGTTTTGGTGCTTTAGCATGCTGCTGTCAGCTCTCAAGTCAAGACACTTGACAGAATGACGGACTTCATTTTACCATCATGAATGGTATGTCGACATTGGGGAATTCATTTTTTGGTTATCCTTCCTCGTGCTCATAAAGGAGCAATTTCTGTTTGTCAGGATTTTTAGGAGCCGAATAATACAGTGATCGGAATATAGTTTGATTCCCGAGTCTTGGGGTATTATACCTATGTAATAGGATTTGAGTTCCGATCACTATCCCTAATTTGTTTCGTGAAGAAACCACATTGAAAGCCACTCACCAACCCAGGTAGGTGTACTCTGCTTTGCATTCGTTTATTCTGTCTCATATTTCTACTTAAAGGAGCCGTGGGTTCTTCATTACTACTAATCTACCCATTTCAGGCTTTTCCGCCCCCCCCTACTTGGGGCCCTGTCACAGGCCTTGCACCAGACCCTGCATCAATACGACCTAGAAGTGTCCTATTTCCTCGAACTATACCTGTAGCTGATATCATCCTACCTATGCTTGGCTGTATATTACTAGAAGTGTGATATCCTCTGCTTCATTTAGCATGCGTAGGTGCCTCTACCAGTAGTGAGAGAGGCCCCGTATCGTCGAAGAGTCCTGTGGGAAAGGGCAGCTTTTCAAGTAAGATCCAACCAGTACTATGCATGGCAATTTAATTCCCTGCTGCTTGGCTTTATCATCATAGAAGATAATTTGCTTTTGTGCTTTCCGAACACGTACCTACGCAGTATATATTATCTATTTCACATAATAGGGGAATGAATAACCCTCAAAATTTAAATAATTGATATGGTGTGAACCGACAGTATATATACTAAGGGGACAGTAACATTATTATTCCCTTTCCTATTATTGTTACACTAATCATTGTATCTATCGATGAGCTTGTAGGTACATCAACGTGTTTATCTATAAATACCTACTCATTTGATTAACGATCTGGTTTTTGTTTCATTTTTGGGTCTGTACCCTACCACTAGCAATACGAACCCTAACCCCCCCGCTAGCTAACCGGAGTGTGCGACTCCCGCAGGTTGTGCACTATAAAGATTTATTTGCTACACAGAGGATCTTCTATCCCCTGGCTTTCCATCTGTTTTCTCCTAATTTTAACGTAGCAAATTGGCGCCCACTATTTTTGCTCAGTGGTGGAAATCGACCATCATTTTTCTCAATCGTATATGTGCAGAATATTTAGTGGTTAATGACAATTTCCATCTTTTCACTTTTCGTTACATCATAAGTAAAAATGAAATAAAAGTTAGGCTTCACTTTCTCCTATAGGTACGTTCGAAATTCATGTTCATTTTTTATTTGCCAGGAATCAACAATTAGGTAATAATTATTTTGGAATTTCGATATACAGGGTGTTCATAGATTAGAAGCCAATTGCCAGAAGGGAACGTAGTTCAATATTTGGTATCGATTTATTTTTTTTGGGTTTGATAAGCTACCTACTGATAAGTACCTTCATATTATATTTACATACGTAGTATGCATACAGGGTGTCCTTGGGTATTCTAACAAAATGTTAGGGATTAGGTATATGCACTGATGCATATGATATGTATTGAATTGTATCAGTTTACATGTAATATTTTTTTTACAAGGTGATACAGGACCGAAGGGCTCTATACAGGGTGGTCACTTTTTTTAATTTATTTTTTATCCGTTTTTTTCCTTAGTGATTCAAACAAAGGTATTGTGAAGATAGGATTTGTGATGAGTATTCTTGGAAAACTAGGATTAACTCTCACGAAAAGTTATACAGGGTGTCCCCATTATTCTTATTAGGATAATAATATTTTTTTCAATCATTTTTGAACATAATCATATTTGGAAGCGTCTTCGGATGATTCAAGAAAAATC